TTTTTTTTAGTGTCCATTGCATTAATTTCTGCTCTGAGCTTTATAATTTCCTGCCTTCTTTAGGCTCTGGGTTTGACTTGCTCTTCTTTTTCTAGGAACTTGAGGTGCAGCATAAGATTGTTTATTTATGCTTGTTCTGTTTTCTTGAGGTGGGACTTCAACACTATAAATTTCCCTCTGAGGACTACTTTCATTGCATCCCACAGGTTTCTGTAGGTTGTATGTACATTTTCATTTGATTGTAAATAGTGTTTAATCTCTACTGTGATTTCATCTGTGACCCATCGGTTTGTTCAGGAGGGTGTTATTTAATTTCCAACTGTGTATGGAGTTTTTAAGTTTTCTTTGGTCATTAATTTCCAATTTCATTGCACTATGGCATGATAGTATACAAGGGATAATTTCAATTCCTTTGCATTTACTTAAACATGTTCTATGTACTAGTATATGGTCTGTTTTAGAGAGCATCCCATGTGCAGCTGAGAAGAATGTGTATTCTGATGCTGTTGGGTGGAACACTCTGTAAAAGTTTACCAAGTCCATATGTTCACAAGTTTGGTTAAGTTCTGTCATTTCTTTCCCAGTTTTTTGTCTAGTTGATCTATCTCTTTGTGACAATGGTGTGTTAAAATCCCGTTATGATTGTCTTGCTACTTATTTCATTTTGCATGTCTGTTAGAATTTGTCTTATATAGGTGGGTGCTCCTATGTTTGAAGCATAGATGTTTATGATTGTTATCTCTTCCTCTTGAAGCTTCCCCTTCACAAGTATGTAGTGACCTTCTTTATCTCTTTTGATTGTTCTTGGTTTGAAGTTCACGTTGTCTGCAAACAGAATAGCTACACCCGCTTTTTTCTGGGTTCGTGTCATATGGAATATTGTTTTCCATCCTTTAATTTTCAGTCTGTGAATTTCCTTTTGAGTTAAATGTGTTTCTTGTATACAGCATATAGTTGGGTTTTGTTTCCTGATCCACTCTGCAAGTCTGCTTCTTTTGGTGGGAGCATTGAGACCATTTACATTGATGGTTATAACTGATACGTCCCAGCTTATCTTTGTCATGCCATTTTCCTGCTGTCGGATCATCCTTTTTCCCTCTGTTTAACTGCTTGCTCTACTTGTTGGTTCCTTTCTGTTGTTGTTCTTGAAGTTGCGGTCTGTTTTATCTCTTTCTAGTATATCTTTTAGTACCCTTTGTAGGATTGATTAGGCGCTCATGAATTTCTTCAGTTGTTCTCTATCACAAAAATATTTTATTTCTCCATTAAATTTCAAAGAGAGTTTTGCAGGGTACATCAATCTGGGTTGAAAGTTGTTTTCTTTCAATACCTGAAATACTTCACTCCAAGCTCTTCTTGCCTTGATGGTTTGTGTTGAGGAGTCTGCTGTGATTCTGATAGGCTTTCCTTTATAGGTGATCTGTTTCTTTTCCCTAACAGCTTTTAATATTCTGAGCTTTTGCTGAGTTTCTGGGATCTTGATCACTATATGTCTAGGGGTAGATTTATTTTGGTTATGATTAACTGGAGTTCTATGTACTTCACTTATCTGGATGTCCGATTCTTTTTCCATGCCTGGGAAATTTTCTACTATTATTTCTGCAAATAGTCTTTTTATGTCATTTGTGTTGACACCTGCTGTTTTATTAATACCTATTAATCTGACATTGTTCTCCTTTGCTTCATCTTGCAGTTGTTGAATTTTTATTTCCTGGTTCCTTGTTTTTAAGAGATCCCCCCTTTCACATTCATTAGTGGCAATGCTGTCTTCAATGTCTGAAAGTCTTATCTTCAGCTTCATTCAAGTGGTTTTGCCAGCTTTCAATGGAATTTTTAATTTCCTGGATATTGGTTTGCATCTGTTTCATACCTTCTAGTCCTTTGCTATATTGTTCACTGAACATTTCCATGAGGTGTCTGTGCTCTTCTATTTTCTTGTCAATGTCATCTTTGGATATGCTGAACATTTCTTTCTTAATTGTTGTCATTTTCACATGAGACATTATTTCTGATCTGATGTCTTCTATGGCCTGATGGAGTTGTTTCTTTATTTCAGTTGCTATCATTTCAGAAATTTCAGGTGTATGACTTCCAGGCTTTTCTGTGTTGATGTCTCCTGGACTTGTTTTAGGTGGTGTGGATGTCTGGGATTACATTTTGCTCCTCTGTTTTGTCATTTTTGAAGATCCAGAGGTTTCCTGGAGCGCAGCCTCACTCCTGATTGTGTGCAAGTGGCAGGGCAAGAGTCTGAAGATACACAGTGCTCAGTGCAACTCCTGTGCTGGTGAGTGGTGGCAAGATGGGGTCCCAGATGCTCCTGAACTTTCTTGCATTCAGTTGGCACCCAGGTGTGTGTAGGAAGGGCAGGGAAGGCTCACTGGTGTTCCTGAGACTGTCTGGGGTTTGGCCCAGCTTCCACAAGAGTAGGGGGGATGCAGGTCATGTTCACTGAGGCTTCAGATATTGCCCAGGACAGAGCTTGCTTTCCACACTGGAAGGGGAGGGGTGAAAGTGGACTCCCTGAGGCCCTTGACTCTGTCCAGGTTTCAGCTGAGCTCCCAGGGGGGTGTGAGTTGTTCTGGCTGTGACCACCAAGGCCCAGAAGTTGTCCAGGGATCCACGTACCTCACACACTAGTGGGGGAGGCACCAGAGTGGCTCACTGGAGTTCCTAAAGGTGCCTGGCATTCAGCCCAGCCTCAGCAGACATGCTATGGGTGTGGTGGGTGGCCACCAAGGCCCCAGAGGGTGCCCGAGGTTTCGCCTGCCTTGCATGCTGGTCAGAGAGGTGCTGCCGAGACTCACTGGGCTTCCTGAAGATGTCCGGGATTCAGGCCAGCCCCAGCAGACACACTATGGGTGTGGCCAGTAGCCACCGAGGCCTCAGAGGGTGCCCAAGTTTCTGCCTGCCTTGCACGCTGGTCAGGGAGGCGCTGCTGTGACTCACCGGACTTCCTGAAGATGTCCAGGATTCAGCCCAGCCTCCTAATACCTAGATTTTTGAGTAGTAGGTGGTATGATAAAAATATGGTGAAAGTTTAGATTTTTTAAAATTTATTATAACAAAAGATACATTGTCATTAACACCCCTCAAAGTCTTCCGGCTTGCTTGGAACGCACTTAGCCCGTTGTTCTTGCCACTTTCTGAAGCAGTTCTGCAAATCCTCCATTTTGAGTGTCTCAGTTCCTTGTCATGGTTACTACAATGTCCTGAATCAATTCAAAACATTTGCCTTTCACAGTCATTTTGACTTTGGAGAAGAAGTCACACAGTGCCAGACCTCATGAATGAGGAGGATGAGGAAGCATCCTCCTCTTTATGAATCTGCTTTTCTATAGGATGGCACTGGGCAGCAGCACTCATTACATTTTTGATCTCACTCACAAAAGACGATTTCCAGAACTGCTTCAGAAAGTGGCAAGAATGATGGGGTAGTGTTAGAGTGAGGGAAGTACTTTGAGAGCGATTAATGGCAATGTATTTTTTACTGTAATTTCAAAATTTAAACACTCATCATATATTTTGATCATACATCATAAGTGCCATTTTGACTTTGTATATATTTCCTCAGCTCTTAAGCTTTTTAAAAAAATTTTGACCGAGTACTTTTCAAATCTGTGAATCATTAAGTGCCACTTCAGAACTTTTGTCTTCCGAGTCTAGATGTTTTGCACTACATTGAAATTGTACGTTCTTCTTAAATTTCTCCTCGTTTTCCTGTTTAGTAAGGGGAACTTCTGTGTTGATATTTTTGCTATTTAACTGGGAGCATTTTATCAGTTAATTTTTACTGCTGAGGAGGTTTTAAATTCAATGATTTACCACTGACAGTGCAGTCTCTTAAAGTAAGGTCTTGCAGTGTCATCTGGCCAGAGAAGCCAGCAGTCTGTGAAAGCCTGTGCCTGTTAGGAGGGAGCCCCTTGCTTCCCTTTCTCCTCCAGGACATGGAGGGGCACCAGGGAGTCAGTCTGCTGGCTCACTCCCCCTGAGGCATATGCTCCTGTGGGTCCTCACTCTGCTGTTGGACATGGACTTAAGGGTAGGAAGTCAGGCTTAGGAGATTTTATTTTCCATTACTTAAGACTAGTACACCTCCTTAATAATTGGAATTTATTACACTTTACTAAAATATGGCCTCTTGTGGATGAAATGAGATCATGTATGTAAAGCAGTCTTTAACTAAGTAGACCGTTTAAATTGATGCATGGGAATGAATTTTTTACTTTTTTTCTAAGAAATGAAAAGAAATTGGGAAGAAAATTCACTAGACAGTAATGCATAGAGGTTTTTTTTTTCTTTTGCACCTAAATGAGAAGCTGGAAATGCATATAAAGCATAAGAACATCAAAAACATTTCTTAGGCACAGACTACTATTAAATACCCATGGATGTTTTTGATTTCCCATTACATTAAAATACAGTTCTCAAAGGAGCTTCATTTTCAGAACATTTAAAAATAGCTCAGTCTTAAAAAGAAGATATAAAATGTTATCGGCTGTGCTTTTTATACATAATTAGTATGTGCCTGTGGAAGTATAATGACTTGTAACCTAAAGATATTATTCATGATAAAAAGCTCACATGGAAAAAATCAGAGCTACAGCTGGGTGACACATTTAGAAATGATTCAGATATGACTCCAGCATCCAAGGCAGGCTCTTTCAATCCCTTAGAATCTACCTTCAACCTCAGTGGCTCATGAAGGCATGATCTTAATGGTAGGAAGATCCTTTCTAAAATGCTTCATCGGTTTCTTTTCTTACAGATTTAATGTGTGCTCCCCATTTCCTTCAGTGCTTGGCAGCCTGCTGTGCAAGGACATCACCTTTCTTTTTGAGATGGCTCAGGATTTTGTAGGCCTTGCTTCTGATTGTCAATATTGGCTGCAGAAGCTTTCTGCATTGGACCAGGCTTCTACTTTGGAAACCCAGAAGGATACCTGTCTGCACCTGCCTCAGTTCCAGGAATTCCTGAAACAGATGTATGAAGCCTTGAAGGAGATGGTAAATACAGTAGTAGACAAAAATAACTAAATTATTTTGTGTCATCAGGGACTCCACCAGATTTCACCAAACCCGGATGCTATGGACCTAAGATCTTCCATTAGAAAGATATACTACCCATAAGTACTGCAGATAAGAGCTGGTTTCCTACTCTCTGTTTTATTATGACCTAAGTCTTGCTTCTTGGCCAGTTGTATTGTCACATGAGACTGTGACCATGCAAAAAATAGAAATAAATATGAATAAAATAAA